TAGGATATCTCTCAAATCATGTGTTCATATATAAATGAAAGCTCAATATTCCAATTCATTTGTAAATTCCTTTTTTTTCAATTCCATCTTTGTTTCTATTAAATTTTTCATGCAGCAATTTAGGACAACTAATAACTTATCCAAATAAACACATGTATACATTTCAAACAAACTGACCGTACCCTTGAATCACAACGTTAACGCACGAATTGCATTGAAACTTTTTACCCAAACAAAAATAAAAGACTGGACTTGAGATTTAAATAAAGATACGGCATAACCTTATTTTGATGACCCAAAGAAAACTTCTTAAAGGATATAAATAGAGGTTCTCTTGAAACTGACCATCAAAAAGTAAGCACAGGAGAAAAAAGCAAACTGAAAAGGAGAATCGAAGAGAAACACTAGTAAAAGACATAATGAAGTAAGTTTTGCTTGATAATATCTTATGCATATTTTTTTCTAAACTTAAGCATAGGAATCCTATATCTACCAATTTTACTGAAATTTTTGATTAACAAAGAGTATGTAATACAGTGTACCTAATTTTTATAGCTAATTTTTATATTAAAAAAATCAGTAAAATTGATAGGTGTGCCAACTTCAGATTTTGGCTTGGAACATGCAAGTTTCTGACAGTACTGTCATGAAAATTCGATTGCAATACATATCTTGCATTTTATAAAAATTGTCACAGACAGCAAATCTACTGTAGACAGGTCACTAAATTTTTTAAACTGAGATTTTTTTTTTAAAGAAAACGATTATACACTTGGAACAGTTTCATGCGTAAGACTTCGATGTTAAGTTTTTATCGTTGTCCTGTCGTATAAGCCTTTAGGTAAAATCCTTTTTTCTTTAATTTAACTTTTGATTTGTAAAATAGCAGCTCCTATTCAAAATATTTACGTTTTTTTTAAACTCCCATCACCATTTACTATATCCACCCTATCTCAGATTTTCCTTTTTGAATATAAACTAAACGAACTTTTGTCAAATTCCAAGCAAGAGGAACCAAGTCACCAACCAGTATCATGAATTAACTACCAGCTAACAATGAAGTGCATTTTATTAATTTGAAATTTCTTCATGCTTAGTAACTCAAATGAGAAATTTCCTTCTAATCCAGGTATATTTTATCAATACTAACGGCTTTATGGGTGGGTGTGAGTGCAATGTACGAGGTACCCGTAAAGAATGGGAATGTTTGGGGAGATACAAGGACTGCACGGAAAATGAAAGGATGGTGCGTGTTCGAACTGAACGAATCCAGAGACGCGGGAGAAATTAAAATAGACCTCATCTTTAACAAACCTACTAGAAATCTTCAGGTAGGATATTTTTTAATCAATTCGCAAATTTCATCTCTTTTCTACTTATTAAAAAGAAAAAAAAATAAGCATACAATGATCCATGACAAATGTGATCTTTATATGTTGTAAAGCTCTTTAGCTAGCCTCAGGATATGCATACTCCTCTTTTCATCACTCAACCATTATAAATCAATTTGCAGCTGAACTCTTTAGAAAACTACTAAACTACGTGCATCCTAACATACACAAAGAAAATTAAGCTGAACACGACTAGTATATGAATAGACTTACGTCATTTTACATATTTTTGATATTACTATTTACTATCTATAATATCAGCACCGGTGTATACTCTTCGCATCCGTTACACTTGGCTGCTTTATTGTCACGAGTATTGGCGTGGAATGGCGACCCATGTTCCTGCTGGTTATCTAGCATTACAATTGATTAAATTTTATTGCAGTTACGCATATTTTTGTTTGTATACTGCACTGACCTGCGCAACTGTTGTAAATTTTTTGTTATCTTACTCTGAAGCACAAAGTGTCTGTTTTTCGCCATGAGTGATACAGCATCCTCCGTCTACACCAGTGACGAATGATTACTCTAAACAGTGATGTTTCAGCTGCTCTCTGTATAAAGGGCCATATAGGGCTAGATGTATGATGAATTTGTTTTCATTTCTGTTAATACCCAATCATTCTGAACAATCCTTGTCTATTCGGAACAAAAGTTTGTGACAGTGACAGGATTCACTCCGTCAAATTCTGAAATAAATGTTCAAAAATGGCATTTTTAACATATATAGTCAATAAAGCTTATCTTTTTAATTTTTTTCAAACAGATATGGATCATGAACATCGACAAAATACTAAATAAGGGACGGGCATATGAATTATCAAGCAAATATCCATATTCCAACACGATGCTTAAAGCAGAATTCATTTTGACATACAGAGGTAGCAAGAAGAGGTTTCCGAAGGGAAGATGCATCAGTAACATAACACCACCATCTACAACAACACAATCACCCACTACGCATGCGTCAGCGTCACCACAAGCAAGTACCACGTCAGTTACACAACAACCCACTGCAACGTCAGGACCACGATCATCTACAACAGCAATATCAAGATCATTTCCTGACGTCATACCGATATCCGTAGAGGGACAACATTGGAGTGTTGGAAATCGCTATAGAATGACCGGAATCTGTACATTCCAGATTAACCCAGTTCTTAACTCCTATAATATCATATTGGAATTTGACAAAGAAACTTCTGACATGACGGTATCAGAAGTGTATTCATTTACTTGATAACTAGACTATCTCAATTTCTATCATACTATCCGCACTAACTCTGGGTAACTAGAAATCAAATTTTATAAAAGTAGATTGATTTTAACTTAAAGAATTATGTTTGTTATAGGATTGGACAATGGATATTGAAGATCAACAGACAAACGGGCTATGGTATAAGTTAAAAAGCAGATGGCCTGCGAGGCAAAATGAAATAAATCTGAGGTTTCAAGTTGACTTTGATACTCTTCCTATGCCAACTGGAACGTGTACTATTAATAGAAATGGCCAAACTCTGACACCCAGACCTTCAACTTCAATGCCAACACCAACCACCAAAGCACCAACACAGCAACCTTCGACAGCGGCCCCAACACAGCAACCTTCGACTGCAGCACCAACTCAACAACCCTCAACTGCAGCACCAACAACTCAACAACCTTCAACTGCAGCACCAACACAACAACCCTCAACTGCAGCACCAACACAACAACCCTCAACTGCAGCACCAACAACTCAGCAACATTCAACTGCAGCACCAACACAGCAACCTTCAACTGCAGCACCAACACAGCAACCTTCGACCGCAGCACCAACACAACAACCTTTAACTGTAGCACCAACAAAACGACCCTCAACAGCAGTGCCAACACAACCGCCTACTACTGAAGCACTTACAGGTAGGTGTAATAAAATTACTTTGGAAAACCTACGTAGATGATTTAAGATTTACTCCAACCATAAAACGTTTACATGCATAGTTTTTACGATTAATTTCAATAAAATATATGGAGATCGCGAACAGTATTCAAGCTCAAAAGTCCATTAAACAATACAAATTTGGAGCAGAGCAAACTCAGACCTCCAAAACATCAGAGGTGGTATCAGGTACCATGGAGGAGTGAGCATCCCCTGCTAACCGGTCACATCCGGCGTGTGTTCCTTGTCACGATCTTGACTTAACGGAAAAATCCGTCGACAATTCAGTGTGTCTTTAATGCCCAAACAATTAGTAAGAAAAACGTTTGATAAATAGTATTTGCTGACAAGGTTATTGAATCGACCAAAGAACTTGCGAAATTATGACGAAACTGCTGGTATTGAGGGCGGTTTTGTAACATCATTTTACTGTAAAATTCTATAAGGAGACTCTCTCGCCAATATTTGGGGGTGGTTTTGTAACATCATTTTACTGTAAAGTTCTATAAGTGGTGTTTTGACCAAAATCAAGGGACGCTTTGACTGGGACGGTTTTAATAGGGGACGCTTTTACTGGCTTCTCCAAATTCAATTACAGTTGGGTGTGAATTTAAAGTATATCTTTACACCAGGTAGGCACAATTGATAATGAAACATTTCTACAAATGATTTAAAGATAGGTACATTTCAATTTAACCTAGCTTCAATTCAATTGATTTCATCTTTTATCAATTTTTCTTAATCTTTAATTTTAAGTATTTGCATATATCTTCAGTTATATTACACCTTTCTTCAAAACAATTCCACATATCTTAAATTGAATTAAAGACAGATAAGAAAGTTGCATTTACACCTAACTATTAACTGATATATAAAGGAGAAACTTGTTCACTAAGCATATTCTAGAAGTGGCATTTTTCAAAAACTCTAAAGGACCTTTATTCTAATTAAAAATCAACCAAATTTTCCAAAAGTAAATACATCGAAACATACAACTTTTCTACAATTTATACAACGAACTTTTTTTTAATTGAAACAGATAACTAACAGAAAAGTTAATGCAAAGGTCAGGAAATTCAACAACCTCGTTCAAATTCAGCGTTTCTTAAATTCTGCAGTCATTAAAATGACCTTGTAAGTAATATTAAAATTTGTAATTTGTTCGTATTTTGACAAGCCTGTATTTATTCAAATTGATAGGCCTTTGTTTTTATACTAAATCTGAATGCGGAATATTCCGTCAACCAAATCAATACACATAGGGTTTCATGGCGTGCATGACCGTCTACAGGAGATGTTCACTCCTTCAAGACACCTGACCCTAACTCTGGAATTTCTTAAGGCCTTGTATTTTAGGCTTGTTTTATAGAATTATATTGTTTTTATATTTTTTAGCTCAATCACTGTTCATTAGTTTGAAATTAATTAAAGCATAAGTAGAACTTCTGCAATTTGGAGATTTTATTTATTCAACTCGTTAAGTGGTTTATATACTATTATGCGAAGATATCAATTATTTTAATTTTTGTTAATTTGGTGCTTCACATATTTGAGAGAAATATGACAGATTTGATAGAAAATGGCGTTACATGAACATGAATGAAAAATGATAGTTCAGTTAAAAAAAAAAAACATAGTCAAAGTACCAGGATACATTTTGATGAACGAGACGTTTAGTATACATCTTATTTCTGAATCACAGATCCGGTCAACACCGGCACGTAGGGTGTCTCTAATGGTATGTGGTAATATAAATAGCCCCTCTTTATACCTGGTACGATAAATTCCTGCCTAAGGGCTGTAGAGAACGATAAAAGTCCTGTAGGTTATTGGTAGACCATGACTTTACTGATTCTGTTTTCTGTCTTTGGTTTACTAGAGGGAGCACACCAAGGGATTCTCAACTTGTATCACCAGAAATATAGCGGCGATGTAAGTATCATCTATGTAATTGTATTATTTATTTGAAAAAATGTTGTTTTCACTGTATTTTTAAAGTTTTGTGTAAATATCAATGCTAACATTTTAACTGATTTGAGATGGTAAAAATTTAATTATTTTAAGAAAAGTTAGTGGTTAACAATTTGTAAAAACCGGAGGATGAAACAGACGCAAAAACTTTTTCTTATCGGGTTAATTAGTGTCAACCAACAGACTTAGTTAACTCTTAAGTTCAGAATTTTTTTTTTTATTCCATGGAACTAGAAGACACTGCTCCACGTGTCTATAATTTGTACACTGCAACTGCAAATTTCGACTCGTGTAATAAACAATTGCGAAAACTTTTCGGTACCTTTATTTGACTCTTAAAAATGATTTTATGGGTATGGAAAACAAGTTTATATTTATTTTGAATTGTGTTTTTAAACAACTTTGCCACTTTATTATTTTAGGGTACCTACTACGGGGCTGGAACAGGTGGTACCTGTAGCTACCCCCCACCCAGTATGCCCCCCGTGGCCAGTAAACTAGACAAGTTGGTGGCCCTGAATGCTCCCCAGTTCTATGGATCTCTGTCATGTGGAATGTGTTTCAGAGTGAGTACCAAACAGGCTGCATTAGTTGTTTTCTATAGTGGAGAAAAAATTATTTTTTTGTTTCAAGCAATTAACATAGATTTTGCAAATGTCCGTAGTTAAGACTAAGTAGCCTTACCTTTTTGTTCTATTTTATGTGAATTTTCAACGTGTTTCATTCCATTAACTATTGTTTGTTACGTTAAAAATTCTTTTCGGATTGATTGACATTTTAAGGGGAAAAAAATTTTAAATTAAATTGCATCTTTTCAAGGTTCATGGAACTGGCCAGGGAGCTGGCAATGACCCAATAACTGGAACCTTTACCGTCTACGTCAAGGACCTCTGTCCGGAATGTCACGCCGGTCAGTTCTTATCTTAAAGGGTACAGAGGTGTCCAGTTTATCTTTGGCTGACCACTTTATTAATGAGAAAGCTACTGTAGAGACAGAGATATTCTTCCTCTGGATTACTACAATTGATTTACATTTACATGTACCGATACAAAATTTTTAACTCCACATTCATGACATTTATTACTAAACCAGAAAAATTTATATTCATGAATTACATTGCTAATTACATTATTTTATAACAACCCTGAATTAGTATGGGCATTGATTCCGAGTAGTGTTTAATCAAAGTCTCTTTACTCTCAGATAATTAATTTTAAAAAAAAAACCACTCAATCCTTTTAAATAGTCAATTCATTGATTGAATTGAAAATATTAGTTACTAGTACCCTTATAAAATTATGCAACAGTACTTTACTTTGCTATAAGGCTCTTTGGACTTGGCTGAGAATGGAGACGGAAGATGGAAGATCCAAATTCAGGCCATCCAGTGTCCAGTCGGAAACACCAAAATCGAATACAAATTCCAAGGCAGTAATAACTGGTATCTGAAATTACAAATACGAAATGCAAGGTGAGATAGAAAAATGATAGCTTGATCAAAATTAACTAAAAACATAATCAGTCAAAAATTACAACAATGCTGACATATTTCTTTCAAACTCTTTCGTATATAAGATCAATCCCTAACTTAAATTATATAGAAACATAATTTCACCAAAGCTTTATTAAGGAAAAATATGATCTTGTGACAGAATCCCGGCTACCAAAGTGGAGATGTATCAACTAAAGTCTCAAAGATGGTCAGCTTTACGTCACACTTCAGACGGATTCTGGATATTCGGCAATGACCATATTGATAAACCAGTGGTCACTCCAATTAGAGTACGCCTGACCGCAGCCAATGGAGAAACCGTGGTGGACCACATCCCCAGACTGGGTAAATATCAAGAAAATGGTGCTCCTTTGACCCATTCCAATTTTTTATTGATAAACAGATTAAATAAAAAGAATCATTAATTTATAAAATACATGTATTATTTTATCAGCTTTTGGATTTGTAATGTTAATTTTTTTTAAAGTTGCTTTTACCTTTTATGTTCATTTATATTTTTTAAAAGAGGGATCCAAGTTGAACCAAGTCTTTTTTTTTTTAGCGTTTTAAACATACATGTATTTTAAAGATATACGATTTCGAAAGCATCTTTTTATTTTACATGCTAGTATTTTCCATATAGCTTGCTGACACGAAATGTCTTATATTTTCAGCAAACGACGCTGTTATACATGGAGACGGAGTACAATTCAGCCTGGATTCCTCCTTACCTCATTAACATTACATCCACTGTAAATCCAGTCATCTTGTTTCATAAAAAGTGTTTAAAATTTGAATTATGTATGTGGTGCTTTATAAATGAATACTCTATTCTTGGATGATCAAATAGTTATAATAAATTGGAATAGAAGCTTCATTTTTTCTACATCATTTTATCCACTATAATACAGAGTGAATTCATGTTTTGAATATATCTCGATAGTACATAGTTATATTAATTGTTAGAGAGAGAAAGAGAGAGATGGGACTGGAAGACATAGAGGAGTAAACATCCCCTCTAGACCGGTAACACAGTACTTTTTGTCATGATCAGGCAAACATAAAAATCTGTAGACAATGGAGTTTGTAATGAAATATAAAGATGATAGGGAGTAACTATGCTCAATATTCCAATAAAAATACAAATCAGGAGATGAGCAAACATGGACATCTAAACACATCAGAGGTGGGATAAAGGAGTGGACAACCTCTGTCGACCGCTCAAACCAACCGTCTGTCCTTTGTCCTGATCGGGGAAAATGAAATTATATGTAGATAGTTCGTTCAGTAAATAATGGCCTAAACAGCGAAATTTTGACATATTGTAGGAGGGCTTAAACTCCAAAAACTACTGGTATATTGATACTCAGTAATGTCAATCAGGAACTCGGGCATCATTTAATTATCAACTTCGAAGATTTGTATACACAATCAGAATGTTTTTAATAAACGGTCTTGCAAATAATTGTGTGAAGTGATGAAAATCGTAAGGTTTTGTAAAAATTATGTGATTTCAAATTTTATTATGGTTCTTAAAAGTTCCATGGCGTGTTTAAGTATCCACACCTGATGTACACCAATATTCAGGGCGTATATTGTTTTGCGAACTTTCGCCATAACTTTGAACCGTGAGAGATAGAGACTTCATCTTTGGTATGCATACTCCACTAATTTAAAAGCACTTTCAACTGACAACAAGGTCAATGACCTTTTAACCTTGACTGTATCCTATATGCTAAAAATAGCTTTTTCGAACTTCGCCATAACTTTCGAACCATAGGAGATAGAGACTTCATATTTGGTATGCATACTCCACTAATTAAGTGCTTTCAAATGACACAAAGAACTATGATTATGTGACCTTGACTGTGACCTATATGCTAAAAATAGCTTTTTCGAATTTTGTTGCTGCCGGGCGCATAGTGTTTCACAAACACATCTTGTCTTATAAAGTTTTTCCCTCATTGCAGTAAAGTAGAGAAATGCAGAAAGAGACTTGGTAGAATTACCTTCTTATCAAACTAAGGGGTTCTATGTAGTAAGGAACCATAGGAATGTTAATTAAAATTCATTTGATTGTCGGAAATATATTGAGAATATTTAAATCTATTTTAAAGAATTTCTGTTTAGAAAGGTAACTATGAGAATAAGTTGAATTTCCACTTGCAATATCAAAGTTCCTCTAAAGTAGAATAAAAATAATGAGCCGTACAATTAAACGTACCGAAATTGTGATATATTAATAGATACACTTTTATTTTTTCTACATAGAATTGTTTACAAATAATCATTATGTTTTGAGATTTCTTTGTAAATAAACAGGGGTTCAACGTTCTTTTTTAATTTTCATCTAAATATATCTCGATAATTGATCGTTCTTCCAATTGAGATTATTTATAAACTCCATGTACAAAGAAAGAAGACACCTGTACTGTGACCATGACATTTTTATTGTGTCCGCCATCTTCGTGTTTGCAGGGGACTGACATCTTTGCGTTCTTTCGACTGTTGCTGACAAGTCGTGCTTGAAACAAATTGTTAATCTATATAAAAACAATAAAACAGGCTAAACAGTGATGAAAATCTCACGGAAAATACGCCTTGTTTATTATTTCTGTTTTCACGATGGCTGTAGCCATATTTTTTCTCGTGTTTGGAATAGTGCAGGCTCAAACAACAAACAGGGATGTTCTAGATCTCTATCGATACAAATATCAAGGAAATGTGAGTATAGTAGAATGAAAACCCTTTTCAATCTTAAGGTAGTTGTTCATTTCCTCTACATTTTTGAAATTTCTTTCAGCTGGGGGGAGGGGGGCTATTATGTTTCGTACTGCTTCAAGTTTTTGGACCTTTTCTGTATTCTCAAAAAATATTGATCTCATTTTGTTTTTAAAACGACGAGCAATAAGTAATTCTTTACATTCTGTAGTTTTCAGAATGTAGACGTTACAGGTGTCGGACGAAGATAAATCATTAAATCAAAAATTCTGTCATTTTCTTTTTCATTTTTGGACAGGGAATGTTTTATGAAGCTACCCACGGAGGGACGTGTAGCTACGATCCTCCAAGCATGCCCCCCGTTGCACAGAACATCGATAGGACGATAGCCATCAACGCTGGTCAGTTTTACAGTGGATATGGATGTGGCGTCTGCTATAGGGTATGTTTTGCTGAGCAACTTTTTTTTTTTTTTTAAAGAAACCATGCCTTTTCATGTATTACCCGAATTTGCCTGTTTTGTGATCTTAACTCGTCCATTTTGTGCATATTTTAAGCATGCTGGGTAAATATGTAAAAATCAAAACTTACCAGTATTTTAAGATTTTTTTTCATGAAAGATAACTTTTTACGGAATATAAAATCACGAGCTCAATTAAAACACGAATTTCAGTTTTGGTATTTTACCTTATAACTTTATTTTGCAGGTAAACATGTCAGGTAAATATAATGGAGGCTTGCCGATCGATGGAACATTTACAGTTTTTGTCAAGGATTTTTGTCCCAACTGTATGCCTGGTAGGTAAATTTTAATTCAGATTTTTTTCTCGATTTTTTTTTTATATCTAAAGGTTTCTATATGCAGTAGACAAGGTTTCTTTCTTCTTTGATTTAGGGGTACCTGCATTACCTGAGAATGTGGATGGGTTGTTAGGAATGGAAATGCAGGCCATACAATGTCCTGTAGGAAACTCAACACTAGAGTACAAATTTCAAGGGAGCAGTCCTTATTACATCAAGCTTCAAGTCAGAAATGCAAGGCAAGTATAAAAAAAAATATAATAAAAGGACGAGACAATTACTACATGGAAGGATTTAGAAATACTTTCGGTACATTCTTAAAATTTTAATTGTTACATAATGATTTTTAATAAATAGATCATTTCTAGGTTTTCTTCATTTCAAATAAAAAAGGGTATCTTTTTTATCATTAATTAACTGTCCAAAATCTTTGTAGAATTCCTGCCACGAAAGTAGAATTCTTTCAACCGAAGTGGCAAAATTGGGCCACCCTTGCTCACACCCATGATGGATTCTGGACATTTGGTGTGGATCCTATTGAGAGACCTGTCAAGGCGCCTTTCCTCATTCGACTTACTGCCACTAATGGAGATAGAGTCGTTGACTCTGTGCCCGAATTAGGCAAGTATTTTAAAACAAAAACAAAAAAAATCTATAAAGCACCATCTTTGGAATGTACTGAATACAATAAATATGCATTTATTTATGCATTTGTTCATTTATTTATTTTATTTAGTAAAAGTAAGATTGTTTGGATGTTTTATTTAATTATCTTCAGATCCACTGATTTAACCTATTTTCAATTTCAGTAAATGGAGTTGTCTTGCAAGGCCAAGGAAAACAATTTGAATTTGATCCCAACTTACCTAAGTAAATTTCCATGAAAGAGAAAAACGGTTTCGATACGAATAAGTTTTGGGTCATCTTGTATGGATTTAAATGATGAATTAAGTAGTTTTTTTTTTTTTTTTTTTTTTTAGATAATGCAACATTTAATTATTCACCAAAAATACGTCCAGCTGAATTCCATATTAGCTGTCTTAAGAAATTATTTACATAGAATGAATTTTGTTAAAGTGACAATTGATATTATGCAAAACTTCACTGAAACTTTACTAATTTTTTTCGCCAAAAAATAATTTTTAAAATGAAAAAGCAACTATCAAATTGTTGATAGAAGCACCATTTATACACAATAATTAAAATTTTCAGAGAATTATTCTTTTTTATACATGTATTTTGATAAATTTTTCCATTGCACAATGCATAGGTTATATTGGTGAAAGTATAACGATATCAAAAATCTTTTTTCTTTTAATTTAACGTATGTTTATTAAGTAAAATGAATGTTTGACTGCATACAATATATTTAAATTTCCATTCCAAATTTCACAATAAGCCTAATTTGATTTAAGTGTTAAAAAGTTGTAAATATAAATAAGATTGATTGCAGAGCGGTCGATTTTCGAACATCATAGAAAGCATTTTGTCATTATACGGCAACATTAAGTAACGAACAAAAGGTTTTTTGAGAGAATTTTTAAAATTATTTTAAATTCATTTTCAAGAAAATTCTTCCTCGGAATTCAGAGACTTCGGGCTCTCTCCTCCTCTTTCTTTTAGCAAAGCAAACTTTTAAAAACGAAAAGCACAATTATTTTTTTTTCTATTCGGTAAACATTGTTAAAGCTTACTGTGATTAAGCTTATGAATATAATTTACCAAATATGAATGTATATTTATGTACTTGTAAAATGATGTTTTAAAGCTGAACACGATTCGTAAGTAGGCTAACGCCATTTTCGATCATACTATCCACAATATTAGTATCAGGGTTTACCTTTCGCATTCGTTATACGTTATACCAGATTTCTTCATTGTCACGGGTATCGGCGTGTAATGGCGACACGTGTTCGTGAAGGCTATCTTACATTACCCTTGTTTTCATTCAATTGCAGTTATGTACATCTGCGTTCGTTTATATAATGCACGGCCCTGTGCAACAGTTGCAAGTTTCTTCCTTTTCTCCCCTGCATTAGAAAAAGTACACAGTTATTTTCGAACATATATTTGTCTACACCGGTGTCTACCCATTATACTGAAAAGTGACTAAGTGAGCGGCTTTAAAGAAGGGTCTTCAGATATAGCGAGAAACCAAGTGAATATGGCGGACTTATTCCTGCTGCTATCGTGTTCAGCTTTAAGGTGCAGTTTTTTTGTTGTTAACACGTCTCAATAAAGTTAAGTTTACATAACAAATTAATGTTAACTCACTTTATCAACAGAATAAACTGATCGTGAAATATTTGCCTTGCGTTTTCATTTTACTAATTTTAGATAAGTCATTATGCCT